GCGCCCTGTCCTGCCCGGCCGCTGCCGCCGGCGCCCCGCGCAGCTGTTCTTAAAATTCTTCGCAGCTTAACCCACTTCGGTCTGAGCCAGTAAAGCGCCGGTTTCGCCTTCTCTCCCCAGCTGCTTTGTAATTTCCCAGCAACCTGCTGAAAAGACCAGGGGCGGCTTAGCAACCTGGCCGCGTGAGGCTGCAATTAGGGTGCCAGGCCGCGGGCAGCGGCCCCCACTTCAAAGGCGGGGGGCGGGGGGCGGCAGGGCTGTAATTAGCCGCCGCCGGGCGGCCACGGGCGTGCTCGCGCCTTGCGGCCTGCAGAAAGCCCCGTGCACGTGGCCGGCGGAACAAAGGCACCCGCCTGGCTGAGTCACCCCCACCGGAGGGGAGCTGTGCCTCCGCCTGCACCCCGACCCGCGGCCGCTGCGTGCTGGCTGTGCCCCCACCCCACACAGGCCGCTGGGGCGGGGCCCCCAGAAAGGGCGGGTTCACTGGGCCACTGCTGCCCACAAGTGGCCAGGGACCCTCCGGCCGCGATGCTCGGCCATGGCCTGGCTTGGCAGGGCGGGCGTCCGGCACCTCCCGCCGGGCACGTGGGGCCGGCAGCGGCCTTGGTCCTGCACCGACGTCCTCGTGGGCACTGGCCTGGGCCACCGCCGCCCTGTGCTGGGGGCGCAGCGGGCCCGCCACAGGCACCGTCCTGGGCCTGGCCGCTGACTCCGCTGCCGGCTGCATACCCAGGCCGACCTGGGCCGGCCCCGAGGCCTCTGCCTGCCTCCTCTCCCCCAGGGGCTACCACGATGGGACAGGAGGGTCCACTCCTGCCCCAGCCTGCCGGGCCAGGCCGACCCACGCATAACACCTGGGTGTCCACCCCCACTGCAGAGGCGCCTCTCCCCGCTCCCTTCTTCCAAGGCCATTCACCCCAAGGGCAGTGAGGGGCACTCAGAGTCTAGGACGCAGGTGCCCCTGGGGTTCCGGCTGGGGCCAGAGAGCTGTGGGCGCTTGGACACGCACGCGCCCTGGCCCTGCCTGGACCCAGGTGCTGGTTCCCACGGTCCTCCGCAGGGCCCCCCCACCCCGTCCAGGAGGGGCTCCTGGCCAGTCATGGCGGTGAGCGGCCGCCTGAGGCCTGGGCCTCCCCAGCCGGTTGCCTCCATCGCTGTTGCCCACGGAGCTGCTGTACCCCCCGGGGTCTCGGGTGGGGGCCCCGCGCACAGCCTGTGTGTTTCTCAAGGGACGCCGGACGCCTGGGAGGGAGGAAGGGGCTGCTGGCGGCACCCACAGGGCAGAGGGGGCGGGCTGCGGATGGGCCGCGTGCCAGGCGTCCTGCGGCTGGTGCCAGTCTGTCCGGCCTGCGCTTCTCACGCAGCCCTCCCTCGGGGAGCCCACCCCCCGCCTCGCTGGCCCTGACCCCCAGGCCACCCCAGAACAGCCGCGTGGCCCAGGACTCCGTTGGGGCGGGCTGCGCAGGCCTGGAGCCGCCGCCCTCCG